TGTGTTTTTAAATGTTTCCTTTGGGTATGTTATCGTAGCTTATATAATTTTGTATAAATGGACGTTTAAATTGTAAGGAAAGCTCAAGTAGACATATGGGCAGAAGCATTCCTGCCCGTGTTTGCAATCATTTTTTGACTCCAATATTTTGACATTCTGGAAATTTCCAATTTCGAAGAAAGACTTTTCTTAAAGCTTTCAAAAGTGCTTATGTCTTCCTACAAGTTATCAACGTTGTTTACGCTGGAGCTATGAATCGGCGAGTTCAATCAGTTAGTTGGTTTCAAACAACTGTTTCAGATCGGTCATCTGCTTTTGAGTTTACTCCGTAAGTGGTATCAATGACCAGCGATTGTTTTTTCTGCTTTGAAAATTTATAACTATTTCAGTTCCTGTTACTTAGTTTAATAAAGATTAAATTCTTTCCTTTAGATTTGCGGTAGTTATTAAGTAAATTTCTACATATTCGTAGTAAGCAATATAAATATAACTACACTAATGCATATTTTTTCTTTAAAAGCTTTTGCGCATAATTACTGAATTAGAAATGTTATCATGCAAAAATAAGTGCGAATGTGTATTTTAGATTCTCCCTGGCACTGTGCTTGAAAAATAAGGTTTCAGGCCTTTTTCTTCTATAAATATCGATGTTACACATGTACAGTAATACCACAAATTTACGTTATCGAGTTAAAAATTTCCATAGGCGCTATTTTAAAGTAAAACAGCTGTAATCTGTAATTAATTTTTATCGAACACTACATGGACCGTATTGATTTCAAAGAAACTCTGAGTATGCTTACAATTGAAATTTATGATAAATTCTTGTGAAACGAAGTTTATCAACGTTGCAAGCAATTTACAACATATGGAACTAAATAAATGCGTTTGCGAGAAGGACTTCGAGGACCGAAAGAAATTCCGCTTTGAAGTCTGAACCAAAGATTTAACAGCCTGCTTAAAAAAGAACAATTCGGTGTTGAAATTCAAAAATATAATTCAACATAACTTCCCATTTTTGAACTAATTATAAATAATCTTTGAATTTACTTTACTTTGAACTTAAGCCCACTTTCATGCAGCTTAGAATAGGCGATTAATAGCTTAGAATAAATACAGATTGTCAAAAAAGTCAAAAAGCAGCTTATATCGGGATTTTGCAATACACTCATTTGCAGAGTTTCTGAAAGTAAAATAGAGGAATGAATGAAAATAATATCAGCACCTAGAAAGAAGGTTTTTAAAAGAGCAAAAACTATTTATTTGCTATCCTACAACAAAATGTCCAGCTTGTAAAATTTTCTTTAGATTTCATTTTTCTTGGATTATATTGAATTAAACTTTAAATATTTCACATTTGTATACCTAAATTTCATTTAACTTGCTAATAACAAATATCTTCAAGAAATTTGCATTTAACTTAATAGATTACAAGATAATATACAATTTAAAAAACGGATACTTTAGTTTAGAAAACAGATATAAAAAGTTTTGTATCATCGAATTTTGTCTCCAAATCTGAAGATGTATTCGTAAATTTTTCTACCCCATTTTGAGAATATTTTTAATTAAAATTACATATATAGTAATAATATTTAAGAAAATAAAACTTTAAACAGTTTTGAACACCGTGTATAACAATCATTAAACGCGATATTGTGCTCCATAAAATGAAGAACTGTTTTCATCTTTAATTGCTAACTCACTATTTTGTTCCATTTATCAGTTATTTGAATTAGCATCTCTCCGAATTACTTTTAAAGTATCGAGATTCTACTAAACATTAACTTTTCCAGAAAATTTTAAATGGAAATTAAAAATATTTTAATTAATTTTTCAAAACTTTTATTCATCAGAATGAGACATTTTTAATTATAAGTACCTTTTGTAAATTATTTATCATATTATTATTTTATTATTATTATCAATCATTTCTAAAAGAAAATCTTCTGCGTAAGCAAAATATATAAAGCTTGTTATCGTATTTTCATATGAGATGGTGTTTTCCTCATTAATGAATATGCTTTCATTAAAATAATTACTCTTCCTTGTAAAATAAAGAGCACATGACTCTTATGTAATTTTCAGTCTGCTGGCAGAAAAACAAAGTTTTGTTATTCATGTTATTGAAATTATTTCTTATTCCCTTCAGTAATGAAATGTCATATTTGTACTCGTTGAGAAATTATCCTTTGCATTATTTTGCTCAAAATCTGATGAATATTTGCATAATAATATTTGCATGATTACATTTGCATAATAAAAAAGTAAGGTTTTCAGTTTATTAGGACTTCATTAGCAAATAGCTTGGGAAAGAATATAAAATTTTTGAAACATGTTGTATAATAACTTTCTTGGTAAATACTGAATTGCCTACTGATATTTAAAAATTTTTATGTAGCATTTTATAATTACATCATGATAATGCAACATGTCTAACTAAACCTTCAAAACTTCAGATTTCTGTTTTAGTTAAGATTATAACCAAATGCGTACTGAAATAGTAATTTATGTCTCGATATTAAAAACACCTCGAAATTCGTTCTTAAAAAACCTCACTCCGCGCTCTTAAAACTCATGTCTTCCTTTTTCAAGCTTTCATTCGTAATTCCATGAAAATACTCGAAGATTTTAAAACTCAAGTTTAACATTTCTCAGTATATTTTCACTCTCATATAAAACGAAAAGCTTCTTTATAATAAAATGTATTGTTAAAATGGGCGCTGCGTCGAATACAAAAAATGTCCCAGGATAAAATTCCTAATTGCCAGTAGTGTTTTCCTTGGTCCATGATGAACCAAAAATTTCGTGTGAACATGTAACGAGAATAGCGTGGTTAACGAGTTATGAGACGCTGAGCATCAATAATAAGAAGATGCCTTCCTGTCCCTGAAAAATATCTTGCGACTAAGTACGGAATCACTTAAATACCCAGATCTCCTTTTTTCATGAATTTCAACAGCATGCTTGAAGTACTGTCCAATGACGGCCTAGACTGTCCAAGAGACAGATTGCTAGACTTCCCATTTCCTGCCATTAAATTTAACATCTCGTTGAGACGTTATGTAGAAATCGCACACTATTAAATTTTGCATTCATTACTAAATAACACCCAGCATTACCTTATAAGCTGTAACTTTATATTACATTTATGAAATAAATAAAGTTTTATGAATATTGATTAATATCTAATACTATTTTAAGAAACAGAATGATTTTCTACTTTGCTGTTCTAATTAATTATACTCCAGCTACAAGTGTTTTAATCTTAAGGATTATGTTATGGGGACTCATACACCTTAAACCCCTTATGATCTTCGAATTATGTGACTGTTGCAAGAATTGGGATATTTTATTTATTTTGAAAGCAATTACTTCCAATTTTTTACAGCTGACTACATAACATAGCTGCTTTGGAAACAGAAAGTTTGTGTCTCCGCTTTGTGTTGACACAAATCCGCTTTAATTCGATTTGTGACAAAATTTTTCGTCATGTTTCTACCTTGCGCGCATGATATTTTAAAAATGACTAATGGTACATACTTGAAATTTAATGAAATTCTTTATATGAGCACTATTTTCTAACTTAACCAAAAATCTGATGAATATTTTAATATTAAAATATTTTATGTGCAAAAATATTACAGATTTTTTTTTAAAAATACATTTTATAAACTCAACTCTAAATAAAATAAAAATTGAACATGAAATTCTTAGAATTTTTTGTTCACAATAGTTTCCAAATGTTATAAAAGCTATATATTAAATATGGAATTAAATTATGCAACAGAAAGTTTTAAGCTGTGCACGCAAGGTGGAAACATGACGAAAAATGTTGTCACAAAGCGGATTAAATTATAAAAATATTTGTGGCATCACAACCTTTCTGAGTGCTATTTCAAAACGCAGTCAGCTGTAAAAAGTTGGAAGTAATTTCTCTTAAAATAAATAAGTTATCCCAATTCTTGCAACAGTCGCATATTCGAAGATCTTATGGGTTTTAAAGTTGTATGAGTTCCCTTAAACCATCTATGAGAGGGTTCATAAAAAATAATTGGAATAACAACACTATAAGATGACCCTTTCTTCCCGTTGTTAGGCATTATTAGCCCTATTTGCCAGGTGACATCATTTCAAGTGGAGAATTTGTCCACAACGATTAGGATGCGCAAAGATAAAGAAGAAAACGTGGGCTTGAAATTTGGTTTTTTATTCAGAAAAACTGAAAATGAGACAATTTTAATGCTTCGGCAAACTTTTTAAGTTGATACTTTGAGTAAAACACTAGTAAACAAGAGATCATTCATATTATGACAAAAGCATGGCATGAAGACCGCTATAGCTGTTAAATTTGTTGACAAACAGAAATAAAGGAAACGTCAAGAAAGTGCGACCTGCTACAGAGGAAGAGGTCTAAAGGTTTTATACATATTTCTGGAAATAAACATTGAAGTGTTTTCATGACTTGGAACATTCCTTACACGCTTCTGATTTATCCTCAGCATCATCTTTAAAGATTTGCCGAAGCATAACAGCTTCTTAACTTCAGTTTTCTTTAACAAGAAACTTCGCGCTCAGCCTATGTTCTTTATTGTAACATATCACAAAAATGCCCAAGGGCCGTCAACAGGGACATACATTATCAGCATTCAGAACGATTTGTTCTACTGAGATTGATGTCATTTTGCAATTAAATGAGGGAAACGCTAAGCTTAAAAGCCAAGTGGAACTTTGTAAATATAAAATGCTTGCCATGATTGTTGTTATTCCGGTTATTTTCTGGGTACTCTTACGTAATTTTAATATGTAATTTTCTCTATCTGTTGAAATATTTATTGTACGTAATTAAAATAAAGGTGCTTTCAACAAGAGTAACACTTTTATTTTCGTAAAGAGAAACACTTTTATTTTGATTTCCTTTTATTATCATGCAATATTTCTTTAGTTTATCATTCATAACATTTTTCAGAAAATAATTTGATTTATTATTATGTTCGCAGTTCTCGCAGCTTGCGGAGTGAACAGGCGTTGCAGAGCTATAAATGATACTGTCACTACTTCACTGCCTATTGAATTGGATGAAGGTAGGAATCGGAAACGTTTATTTCATATTTTTATCATTTAGAATCTAATATAATTACATCTTGATAATTTATCAGGAGTTTCACCAGCTTAAGCATCTACAAATAATTGGGTCCATTAGTTTTATGATAGAGGAATTTGTCCCACGCTATTTCAAACTGAAACAGCACCACCCTGAAGAAACTATCTCTTATTTGTGTTGAAAATTAAGATATTTCTGAAAATATGGACTTGAAATTAGAAGTGTCCTAAAACAAACATCTACTTAGGGGCTTAGGGCTTTATTAACTATTATAACTAGCTGCAAGATTCCTTGTGAATTTCTAATTGAAACAATATCGTATGGGAGTTAGTACTCCAGACCTACCGTGTTTAGCCCATCTCGATATCGTGGGAGCTATAAACAAATGGATTATTCGCACTACGCCTACAAATGAATGAAATGTTAGCATAAAAGATGGAATACTTATAAAGATTCCTCGATGGAAAAAAAATCATGGATTTGCCATTATAGAAAAAGTATATTTGGTACTTGTACCTGATCAGAATATTCTGCTGTGTCGATGAAGATTGTTGTTGCAAGAAGTATTCAGCATATCAGTATCGCCACAAACTTTGATTATAATATACTGTTTAGAGCATGTTAGTTTCGTCGAGGTTTTTTAATATCATTAATTACTAGACTTCATCGAGTTTATTTATCCCTAAAATTCTCAAATCAGTGAGAAGAGAAACTTCATCTAGTTACAAAATGGTCATATTTTAAGGTGTTCAATGTCATACGTATCAATGATAAGATATGAGGTTGAATTGTCACAAACTGAAATTTCAATTAAAAAATTGAAGAGAAAAATAAATAGGGGGAATAGGAAAAAATGAAGGGGATAAAAATTTGGCTTTGCTTCTTTCACCTACAATTACAAATATCGATGATACAGCAACTCGTACCAAATTTCACAATCGTATGTCATTTAGCCGTGATCGGTTATCGCTTTGAATTATTTTGCCGAAAACAATTGCTCGCAAGCACAAATGGAAAATATTACGTGTTGTTTCACAGCAGACGTTTGTTCCAAATTTTGAGTTTAATTTGAAAAGCTTTAACTGTATGACACATATTATGTATAAACTGGCTTTTTATGTGATATTTCATATTAAGTCCCTCAGCTGCTGGGGCGTATTTCTGCGTTATAAATTACATTACCATATTCCCTTTCCAAATGTTTTATAAATTCTTTTATTTGGAAGGTGATTTAAAGCTCGAGATTTGAGAGAAGTAATAATTTTTTTTTACATTCGAGGTGACATTTCGCATATTTAAAGTTTTTGCACAAATATTTTGATAAATTCTGCAATGCTTAAAAATATTTCTCTGACTATCAAGTTTATCTGGCGGCTCCTGCATTCTTGTTTACCATCGCTTGGGCTCCATCGATTGATATGCCGACAGTATTTTCCATTGCAATTGATAAGTTCTCCAGCAGCAATTTTAGTTCATTGGACAGATCTCTACTTGTGTCTGTTATTGGCGTCAGTGAACCGAGTTACAAATATCGCTAGTTGTGATGTGTCACTGATGTCACAGCCATCATCAATTGATAAGGAAGAGTATTCAAATTTTTCAGTGCGTTCACCTAAATTTGCATTTGCAAGCAAATAAAATATTCAATTCATCAAACTGTAAATCTTGAAAAACTGATCTGTGAAATAATTAATTTAATTGGAAATAATATTTTTTAAATTGGGGAAAGATATTAATCCATCAGCAATTAAACCTTCGTAATCATATCTCTTAACAACAAATTATTTAATATTTTCACTAAAATTTCACTAACAGTGTAATTAGCTTTCTCTACTAAATCTGATGAAAACCTTAGAGCTTTAAATAGTGTTTTGCTATTATAAACTTTCAATTCATTCAGTTTATCTTTCTGCTTTGGACTTGTATGTTCTTATAATTTATGTCATATTTCTTCTCATAATGTCATTTGATATTATATTCCTTTAACACGGATACTGAATACGAACATAAAAAACAAATAATTTGTTTCTTACAAGAGAAAAAAAAATAGTACAATATCTTTTTCATTAAAACTTATATTTTCAGCCCAAACCTTTTTTTATTTGTTTCGAGGATATTTTTGCAACTGTAAAAATAAAGCAGCGTTTACAAAAATATCATTAAAAAATAAACTTTCAGTCGACGGAATTAGTTTTTTAAAATAAAGGATACTGCCTATATTTTTATTACAGTGATGCACTAACAAGTCATAAAAAAGTCAACGCAAATGCATAGTTCTATGATTTGTGAAGAAACTTGAAGAAATATCCTGAAAAACCAGTTTGTATGACTGCCAGCATACAGCATATGCACCGTTGTGCACAACTTCGCCGGTTTAGGTAAAATAAGCAAATAAAAATAAGCTAATCTGGCTTTGGTATTCACAGATAGAAAGAGAAAAGTACTAGATACCTTTCTTATGACAAAGTAATTTCTTCTTGCCGTCGTCTGGCGATACCTCGTGTACGATATGCGACTTTATGGTGGATATTTCACATCCAATTCTTGCGGGGCGTCTGTATAAAATATTTGTGAGGATTTGCAAGAAATAAAATGAATAATTCTCAGAGCAGAACGATTAACTTCTATGTTGGAATCTCATATCATTTAAATTTATCATGTGTGGGCTGGGAACTGCAGCTGACAGAGCGTCATTGCCCAAGATGAGGCACAGGCGGTACCCAGATGACGCAGACGCTGCCTGCAGATAGAAGCTTTAGATTCTGACTTATGATTAGTCTGAAAACATACACCCAAACTCCCGACCAAGAGCAACTATCGGATTTTTTCCAAACAAGACTGAATGTTCCGACACCTGAGAGTATCTAAATTCAATCTGGCGATCACACAGCCCGAGTCATATAGTCCCTGCCAAATCTGAATGGACCACAGTAGAAGCGGTGATTCTAGTCATGTGGAAGGCAGCAAATTCCTTCATACTATCCACTCTGAACGTATGGACAGTATAAGAGACCAGCTCTGGGGAGTCGTGCCCGTTAGCCGCGTAAACAGGAAGGCGACCCTTGCGTTTTTGCCTCTTCTCCTCATCGAGAGAGGAGTCACGGAGGGGCCTTTGGTTAGTCAGACTATTATCAGCTACGACAAATACGTTGAAGAATAAAATCATTTTTAAACTTCGTCAGTTGATAACATTCGATTATAAACACCTGCCAGTGTGTCCTCTCTAAAGGCTCGAACCCTAACATTACGAAGCGAATTCTGCTGAGCTTCAGTTTTAACGGGTCACACGAAACTCGATCCGCGGGTTGCTAATCTCTGAGCTCCCTCTTAAAGGTACGTTCCATACTTATGATTTCGTTATCATAAGTACAAGAGTCTCGCATACACTATGAATTCGTTTTCACAGATCTGTTCAAACATGAATAGAGAAATACTGAGCCTTGAATAAATATCTAACTTATACTCGTATAAAGTTGCAGTCAAAAGGCAGCACCTATTGACCCCAAGTTTAAGCACTAGTGCTCTCGCCTGCTGTTAACTTTCAGCTCCTAAGCTAAAGGTTTATAAATATTTTTGTCTTAAAAAAAGGAACGGTTTTTCAATAGTCCTTACAGTTTTTTTTTTCCTGCCGCCCAAATGGGAAAGTGGTTAGTGGCTCTGACTGCCGAACCGAAGGGCTCGGGCTTGAATCCCGGAGAAGGCATGGATATAAATTGTCTGTCCCTTCAACAGGAGGCAACTGTGGTTCACCTATTAGGCGCCTCCGTAATAAAGTGATCACCGCTTCCGGTATTGATCCTTAGTATTAACCAACGCCTATAATGGGTAGTGCTCGCCATTGGAAATAATCATTTAAAAAAAGTTTTCTTTCCTTATTCTGAAATGAATTATTGATATCCTTATTCCCCACCCCCCAAAAAAAACTTAAGTGTCAAAAATAATAGTTCTTTCTTAACTATAAATATGTGCCGTAATGTGTACTATTAAGGCGCTTCTCTTTGTTTTATTATCTAAAATTAGGTTTGATAGTACATGAACAATCAAATTCCATTTTCAATTTAATTGCCTATAATAAAACTTTTATTGTGTAATCAATTATATCAAATAGCGACTCTAAATCCCATTACTGAAATGAAAGTCTAAACTTCGGCTATAATCTTTGAAAAATAGGATGTGATTACAGCATCGGAGAACCAATCTGTCTTAAGCAAGAGATTTAATTTAAAAATAAATTAATCAGAAACATTCTTGGAATGTTATAATCTGGATCCTTTGCCAAATTCTCCGTGAAGTTAAAAAAATGGAGAAAGTATTAAAGTTCGATTTTATTAGCAGGAAATTCGTTAAGATCTAAAAGTTTAAGTTTCGAAGGCTGTAATCATTTTAAGCGACTTTCCTTCAGTCAAATAATTCCTTCTAATTTTCGCAATTTGAGCCACATTTAATTTCATCTCATTGTGAATCAGACCGTCTTCGAACGCCGAGATTCTAATTTAATTTTAAAAGTTATACTTTGTGAGTTAATGTGTTTCCTAGGAGATAAAGACTGCAGTAAATATTGAGCCTGATCTTTATTTACTTTATTTTAAACTTAAAAGCCTTGGAATTTAATCTTTCATGTGTAATTATTCTAAAATTTGCGTTATTAAAATATGTGACTAAATGCCCTGGGAATCATATAATAATGTAGCATTAAACGTAGAAATTTAAACTCTTATCTTAAATAATATAGAATAATCATATGTTTATTATAAAGATTTAAAATATCATTTTGAAGTAATGTGTAAACACTGACTTTTGTAATGTGGCATATATAAAATGTACACTTTAAATTTGAGGAAATTTATAATTTTTTCTTTATTTTAATAACAATTCATATTTAAAGAATATTTGTTTACGAATATTATGATAGTAGTTTATCTGTTATATATGAGCCAAAGATTAAAGGTTAAATATATTTAATAACAAAATTTAAAATAC